AAATATTTCAATCTAACATTTGTTATTGCACCTTAGTATTTTGTTATTGTGTCAACAGTTAACTTCACTCACTCTCATTCTCATAGACTTAACCATCATCAGTGCCTTAAATTTATGTTATAGATATAAACTTAATATCCCAACTTACCCTATAATATAGCAGTTCAATTGTTTAGCAGTGGTAAAGTTTTATTACAATTTTTTAAACTCAGAGCCAAGACAGAAATTTTTCTGAATGAGAAGAACTTCCCTCAGCCACTATTATTGAACACTGAATGGCTTTGAAAGTTATTTTTTGCTGCAGACTAATAATATTTCTTAGTGAATTACACTTGAAATTACAAGGTAAAAACAGTGCTTATATGTGAAACTTTGGTAAAAGACATTTGATGATAACTTATGTTTGAATCACAATGTTGAACTGTACTGTACACTTCTCGTGCTGTCAAAAATAAAAACAAGAAGCAGGATCCCCATCCCTACACAAATTTAAAGCAAATATGTTTTCTGGGCTCAAATTACAATTCCAGCAGCATATTTCAGATCTTGATGCAAGTGCCAAGAATATTTCCACATTTCAAAAATTGGTTTAACTCTACAGTTGAGGAACTTCTACCTAACTTTCAATTTAAAGTGATTATTCTGCAATTGGCCAAGTGTGGTGGTTCATACATAATCCTAGCACTTTGGGAGGCCAAAGTGGGAAGGTTGCCTGAGGCCAGGAGTTCAAGACCTGCCTCACCACCATAACGAGACCTCGTCTCTACACAAAATACACAAATTAGTGCCTGCGTATAGTTCTGGCTACTCATGAGGCTGAGGCAGATAGGTATTGCTTGAGCCCAGGAACTTGGAAGTTGTAATGAGCCATGATGATGCCACTGCACTTTAGTCTGAGCAACAGAGCCAGACCCTGTCTCGGAGGAAAAAAAAAAGTGATTGTTCTGCCATGTAATATATGCGAAAGGCAAACATCAAGACAAGACTCTAATAGAATTTTCTAAATGCCTTCCAAGCAATTAATATGCTCAGTGAAAATCACATGCTTGTGGATTGATATCATTACTTGACAATACCTATTTATGTGAAAAGACATTTTCAAAGTGGAAATGTGTAAACTCTTATTACAGATCAGCATTAACAGATGAACATTTGCCACCAATTTTGATGATAGAGAACTCTGACTTCGAACCTCAATTAAGTAAAATGTTATATCTCCAGAAAGAATTTTATTCTTTTCATTAGATCTTTACTACAAAAATTTTACTCAATGAATTTCATCAAAAAAATTTTTTTGTGGGAATTTGCTTTCTCTCTTATTATACAAGAACCTGCATAATTTCTTCAGTTTTGTGTCTTATATAACCTTTTTATAGAAGAAGTTTGCTGATCCTTGCCCCCAAGGGAGACAGAAAATATAAATATTAAATAAGTAAAGTTTAAAAAATAACTTGATTTAAGATGGCAATAAATGTGATTAAAAACAATAAATGAGATCATGGCCATAAAACAAAGTGTTTGCTTTCTCAGAGGTGGTAACATTTCGCTAGGCCAGGAATGATACAAAAACAATAGCTGAGGCACGATCTGGGGGCTTCAGGCTGAGATCTGTTGCAGGGGTCCCAACACTTCCCACACATTCAGCAGTGCTCTGGGAGAAATTGCAGGACTCAGAGGTAGTTGTGCTTAGGGCTATGGTTTATTACAGTGAATAGCCAATAGAAAAGACACATGAGGTAGAGTCTGGAGGATCCAGTCATAGGCATTCTATATTCCCTCAACATCCACCCCCTGCCACAAAATTACACAGAACCTGCTTCTTCCTCCTGCAGCCAGATCCAGCAATGCATGTAGAGTGTTTCTGCCCAGGGAAACTCACTTAAGACATGGAGTCCGGTGTTTTTTTTGGGGTGGGGGCTGGTCACATAGGTATCAAGACTAGCTGCAACTACCAAAATGCCAGACTCCCAGAAGAAAGTAGGTGTTCAGTGCCCCAGGTGGACAAAACAGCCTGGTCAACATAGGGGATACTTTAAAAGTCAAGTTCTTACATATTGTCCAAGAGTTAGCCCAGCAAGCAGGCCTTTCTAATGACAGTAACCTCAGGCCTGCTTATATTAACTCTTATATTAATGCAAGCCCTAAGGCTGGATCAAGAAACTGGAAGGTCAGTGTGACCAAAGTAAAGCCTCTGAGATGAATTTAGAGAGGGGTAATGCAGGGTGTTGTAGCGCATGGAGGAGAGTTTGGATTCATGCTAAGTGTAGAGTCTGTCATTGGAGAATTTTAAACGAGAGAGTGATGTGCTCTAATTTATACTTTGAGAAAACCATTCTCACTACACTATTGAGAATGTAGACAGTAAAGAGAAGTTGGAAAATTAAGAGGCTATTATAGTAGTCCAGGCAAAAGACAATTAAACAAAGATGGTAGGAATGAAAGTGGAAAGAACTAGACAAATATGGGATGTTTGAAAGCCAGTAATCCTTTCTGATGAATTGGATATGGGGTTATTACAAAGAGAGAAATCAAGGCCAACTGATTAATATTTTCCTTGAGCAGTTAGCTAAATGAGATGGGAAGATACTTCGGGAGAAATCAGTTGGGCAGGAAGAAATTATCCACAGACATAAAAAGTGAAGGCTGTTTAGGTATAAATACAAGAAGACTGGTAGATTTGGGGATGGGAAAATAAGCTCCTATCTGATGACTTCAGTTTTCTCTATGTCAGCTGAGAGGAGGTAGGGAAGTGAGTCTTGGTTTAAAGAGAGATAAAATTTTTAAATTGTCACTTTGGAATATAGGAGAATAAATACATACATTAGAAAAGGTATGGTATAATTACCATTGAATACATTAGATGTGTTTTCAATGTATACTAAGGGAACATCTTTTGTCTCTAATGATGTTATTTCAGCCCACCTAAGACTGCATCTGGAGCTAAGAATTTGACATTTTTTATCCTTAAGGCAATTCAAGGAAAGAGAGCTCTCTCTCTCTCTGGTCTTGGTTAGTATTTGTCATGATAGGCAGTTGTCCATCAAATACCTTTCTTCAGTGGTCCTCTGTGTGCCTTCTGCAGCAGAAAAGAGAGAGACTCATTAGCATACAAGAGTGAAGAGAGAGGGTGGTCTCCAGAGCTCCATGATGTCATCCAGAACCCAGGTACTTTTGTATCTCTAACACTCCACCATATACAGCGTTGGCTTCACATATAAGGCTGGTTGCATTTGTGGTCATAAAAATGGCTACAGTAGCAGTTGAGGTTACATGCTTCTTTGCTGTCCTCCAGTGGGAAAGAAGGAAAAAACCCTTTTCATAACCATGACTTAAAAGTCCTTCCTCTTAATCTGATTGGGTCTTTTTAAGGCATGAACCAAACCTTGTACTAAGAAGATACCAGGGAAATACCACATGCTGACTGGCTTAAATCTACGTTACTAAACTAAATCACAGAGTTTGGGCCTGGGGAGGAGAGGAGTTGTGGTAGGGGCAGTTGTCACAGTGGGCTCAAACGTATCAGTTGAACATGCTGTTTGTTCCCCTTGAATCACTTGCACTACATCAGGAGGAGAGCATTTCTGAATAAAACTGGAACTTTGTTAGGAAGAAAGGATGTAATGGGTGCTGAGTATGCTGCAAAGAGTTGGCCGCGATGGAGACTGAAGGGCAAGATGCAATCGGCACACTTAATAGTCATGTTCAAATTTTGTTTTAAAATTCAGTTTTTATTATACGGCATAAAAGGCAAACTAGGGGATGGAGAAAGAATATCCTTTAAAACTGCAGTCCCCAACCCCTGGGCCACAGACTGGTACTGTTCTGTGGCCTGTTAGGTACCAGGACGCAGAGCAGTTGTCTTCCATGAAACTTAGCGGGGGAGGCACAGTAGGCGGTGAGCAGCGGGCAGGAGAGAGAAGCTTCATCTTTATTTATAGTGTTATAGCTATTCCCCATCGCTCACATCACTGCCTGAGCTCTGCCTCTCCCCACCCAACCCCATCCCTCTGTGGGAAAATTGTCTTCCGTGAAACTGGTTCCCGGTGCCAAAAGGGTTGAAAGGTTGGGGACCACTGATTTAAAACTTTGATTCTTATGAGATCCAATTTGTAATTTAAAAGAGACCCATATGGAATCTCTATACAGAAAACTGAGTCTAAATGTTTGTGAAGGCGTACTGCATTCTCAGGGTTGGAGTGGGGGCATCTAGAGTGAGGGGGATAGTGGATAGGGAATAGTGGATAGCCGCCTCCTCTACCCAGGCCGTTTGCTGCTGCGCTGGGAGAGCAAGGCGGGGTTGCTGTGGAGTCCGACTTTGTGGTTGAGAACAAGACCATCGAGCTCATGAAGACTTCAGTTATAGAAAGTCAAAATGAAGATGAGTCCACAAAGAAAAATACTCTGGCAGATAAGTAATAGAATATCATCTGTGATCATCTCCAGAAAGGAGCCATCAGAAGGAAGCTAACCAAAAGAAAAAGACTTGCGTAGTAAATATTTTGGCCAGTGGTCTGACTCAGATCAAGAGGAATTTGTGGAACATCTTATTTCATGAATGTGTCATCATAAGCATGGACATATTAACTCTTGCTAGAGGCCCATGTTGCAGCAGGACTTTATTACCGCTTCACCAGAGCAAGGCTTAGATCACATAGCAGAAAACATTCTTTCCTACCTGGATGCCAGGTCTCTGTGTGCAGCAGAGCTGGTGTGTAAAGAATGCAGTGAGTGATTTCAGAAGGAATGCTTTGGAAGAAGCTGCATGAACCAGTGGTATGCACTGATCCTCTGTGGAAGGGACTTTCAGAAGGAAGAGGGTGGGATCAGTACCTATTTACAAAGAGACCCATAGATGGCCCTTCCAGTTCACTTTATGGTCATTTTACCCAAAGATAATCCAGGATATAGAGACTATAGAATCTAACTGGCAGTGTGGATGACACAACTTGCGGAGGATTCAGTGCCACTCTGAAAATAGTAAAGGTGTCTGCTGTTTACAGTATGATGATGAAAAAATTATCAGTGGCCTACAAGATAATTCTATTGAGATTTGGGATAAAACCAGCCTGGAATGTTTTAAAGTGTTAACAGGACCCACAGGCTCTGTCCTCTGTCTCCAGTATGATGAATGTGTCATTGTAACTGGTTCTTCAGACTCTACAGTGAGAGTCTGGGATGTGAACATGGGTGGAGTTCTTAACACATTGATCCACCACAATGAGGCTGCACTGCACTTACGCTTCAGGGGTGAACTGATGGTGACCTGTTCCGAGGACTGTTCCATTGCTGTGTGGGACATGGCTTCTGCCACTGATATCACTTTACACTGGGTCCTGGTTGGCCACTGTGCTGCTGTCAACGTAGTAGACTTTGATAGTAAGTACTGTCCATCTCTGGTGACAGGACCATCACAATCTGTAGCACGAGTACCTGTGAATTTGTTCGCAGTCTCAATGGACACAAGTGAGTCGTCGCCTGTCTCCAGTACAGGGATCAGCTGGTTGTTAGTGGATCATCAGATAATACCATTAGGCTCTAGGGTATCAAATGTGGCACCTGTTTAAAAGTCCTAGAGAGATATGAAGAATTGGTCCCATGCATCTGGTTTGATAACAAGAGGCTTGTCAGTGGAGCCTATGATCGGAAAATTAAAGTTTGGGACTTCCAAGCTGCTCTTGACCCTCAAACCCCAGCAAGCACATTGTGTCTGTGCACATTGGTGGACCATTGCGGACCTGTGATTTGGCTACAGTTTGATGAGTTTCAAATCAGCAGCTCCCATGATGGCACTATTTTGATTTGGGATTTCTTAAATGTACCTCCCAGTGCCCAAAATGAGACCCATTCTCCCCCCAGAACATACACTTACATCTCCAGCTAATAGTCTGCACTTTTACCTGTTTCAGGGTTTTCTAGTTTTGAACTACTGGCTACATGGCCACCAGATGCCTAAGGGAGTTCATTCACAGCTCTGTTACGAAGCTGGAATTGGTTCTAGATGCTGGATAGATGCAAAGCAGCCTAACTCTGCAAGTACCTACGTTTCTCACCTCCAATTCCAGCTGTACTTTGCGAAGGACACCTTAGCTTCACCGACTGCAAGTAGAGCAGGAGCCCATTTCCTCCCCTCATCGGTGAAAAAAATCTGATGCTTCAAATGTAAATTTTTCATATAAAAGGAACAGAAGTCTGTTTTACAGAAGTAAATCGACCAGCAAGAGAAGACTTGGCCTCTAATTTATACTGCTTTGCACTTCAGTCTGATATTAAGAAATAGCATTTTTCTTCAGTGAAATTTTGGGAACCAAACACCTACCCGAAATGTCCAGGGCTTTCCTTTTCAGAAGTTAGCATTCTCCTTTTGACTGTCCACGTTATTAATTCTGACATTGTGTTAGGAACATATTGGACAACAGAAAAATCTCTCTGGATTTTTAGTAATATTTTTTGGATAATACTTTCTGTACCGATTTCTTTTAATTTGAAGAACTGTTAAGCCAGTTACATTGTTTCCTAATGGCTAATGTAGCTTTTTTCTTTTATTAACTGTTCTTTGTCCCCCAACTGTCTCCTGATATTTGGTAGAGTAACACCTTTATACACGGCTTGCCTCCCAACTTAAAATACTGTATTCACATGTAGTTATAATGTATATAACAGTTTAACCTCAAGGTTGCTGGAGTCAGGGCCCCCTGTGCCTGAGACGCTAAGACAGAGCGTGTTCACATTTAGCCATGGGCTGGGCTCAAAAACCTGATACCAGGGTTGATGTGGATGACCTAGAACCTTCCTCCAATATTCATAAGGTGTTTTTATTTTGTCATTGTCATTGTGTGTGTATGGTGTATGTGTGGTATGTGTGTTTTTAATGGGAATCTTGTATTAAAATGTAATTTCTAATGTTTAACACAAAATGTTTTTTATTTGTTGTACAGTATATACAATAGAGAGAAGTACCTTAAAAACTTTTGTCATTGTTTTCCTCCTAAGTGTTCCTGAGCACTAGTGGTTACCTCCCATAGTATTCATTTGGCTTCACTGTCAAAAATCATTATTCTGGCCGGGCGCCGGGAATCACGCCTGTAATCCTAGCACTCTGGGAGGCCGAGGCGAGCGGATTGTTTGAGCTCAGGAGTTCGAAACCAGCCTGAGCAAGAGCGAAACCCCGTCTCTACTAAAAATAGAAAGAAATTAATCGGACAACTAAAAATATATAGAAAAAATTAGCCAGGCATGGTGGCACATGCCTGTAGTCCCAGCTACTCGGGAGGCTGAGGCAGAAGGATTGCCTGAGCCCAGGAGTTTGAGGTTGCTGTGAGCTAGGCTGACGCCATGGCACTCACTTCTAGCCCAGGCAAAAGAGTGAGACTCTGTCTCAAAAAAAAAAAGCACGTACTTGGGTCCCACATTACTAATTTCTGTTTTTGAGAGGTTGAGTCTCAAAGTATAAAAAATAAACCTCCATTCCTAAGGTGGATATTGTAAGCTTGACAGCGGTTGTAAAAGTGATTTAACTTTGACTACTTCTTCCATATCAAACTAGTTAGGAAGGCCTAACTAGTTAGGCCTAGTTAGGAGGGGGTAGGCAATTCTGAAAGAATGGATTTTTTTGTTGTTGTTTTTGCATGTTTAATAGAGAAGTGCCTTTTGTTCCTTGGGAGAGCATGGTCTTTGAATATGCACATAATCTTTGAATTGTGCCTACTAAATGATAGCAGGGGACTTTGGTACCCAAGGAATTCTGACTTTCTGGGATTATAGTAGTAATTCCCAGCCTTAATCTGGACTTTATTTTGCTAACCACAATTGAGCAGCTGTAAATTACCGCTATGTTAATGTTTTAAAGCACTGGGATAGTCCAGTTCTAACTTGTAATTAATTATGTTTATCAATTATCTGTTTGAAATAAATTTGTGTCTGAACAGCTATTGAAACTGTTAAGTTGTATAGACATTATTCATGACAGCTTTGTACTGTGGAATGTGCTTAATAAAAAGCAAAAAGTTTGACCTTTGTCCAATAAATCAAGTGTGAGAATTATGCAGTACAATCAGTCAATCAGTAAAATGTTTGTGAAAAGTTGTTAGGATTGATTTTCCAGAGAGAGCTAGTAGTGGAAAGGGCGAGAATGGAACCTGCATACTGACAACAGCACAACTGTGCCGGCTCTGCCAGCTCTCATTAGTATTAGGGGAAGTCACTTCTCTGAACCTGAGTTCAGGGGAAAACATACCTGCCTAGAAGGTAGGATTAGAAAGTATGAGGTGTATCCAGTAACATGCCTGTCATGATAGGCACTTAATACCTGATGGCCGCCCAGAAGAGCAGGAGTAAGAGTCGTATCTGTGTTACCTGAGCACTTCAAATGACCATTTTCAAATGATAGGAGAAAATAAAATATACTTAATCAACATACTTTTGTCTTTCTTTAGGAACTTAGGTCTTGAGAATTTGCAGTAATTTTAACTTTAAATACTGTTATTGATATAAGTTTTGAACAGTCTAAATTTGTAGCAATCCCACAACACAGCATACCTATAGGTTTTAAAACATAAATAACCTTTATTTTATGGCAAATTTTGTGTCTATTTCTGTGTAGTTTTAATATTTTACAGTTGTATAAATCTTTAAATAATTTCTACTTAATGATACTCAAATTTAAATCACTGGTTTCATATATTTTAACTGTTTTCTTGGAAAAACATTTAATTTATCATTGTGTACTATAAATAGCACATGATATAAAATATAACCTGAATGTATCAGAATATTTTCTTTAGGGACCAGAATTTCTTTCTGCCCTGAATGATTTAAGGCAGCTTGTCTTATTTAATGTTTCTCTATTTTTAAAATATTTATAGCATTTATAATTTGAAGCAAATATATTTTAGTATTTTGATTGTTCTACTAAAAGTACTTATGTTCTGAGAGTGAATCAGCTGCTGAATTAACTTATCTATTCATTAATAATTAGCAAAGAGCACACTTCGTGAAAAAAGGATAGTACAGAGCCATAATCTTTTTAATTTGGAAAATACAGAGAATTTTTTTAAGCAGCAGAAACAGGCAACACAAGATGAATAATAACAAACACTTTTTTTTTTTTTAAGCGGTTTTATCTTTCTCATGAAATCCTGTAAAAAAAAAAGTCTTATAAAGTGATGTGAATTTAGCTTTTTACCAGATATTTACCTGTATGGTTGAAAATTTCCTTTGAGATCTATCTATTACCATTCTCAATTTGTGACTGCTTTTCATTTTTCCTTCAGATAACATCACTACTGAATGGATACTTGTATTAGGTCATTAAAAATAAAATGTCCAATTTTGAATCAGAAGTTTAATTTATTATATCTCAAACAAGAAGTAGTACAATTAATCAAAGTATAAGCTGAAACTATTGACACAGTTTTGCCATCTTAATGGTAGCTTGTTTATGCCAGCAGTGAAGAAGCCTGGAGAGCGAGTGGCAATGAAATCGTGAAAGGCATTTTCCACAACTTGTTGAGAATTGAATATTTTTCCTTGCAAGAAGTGATCCAAAGCCTGGAAGCAGTGGTAGTCAGTTGGTGCAAGGTTTGATGAATACGGTGGACGACAGAGAGTTTCCAAGGCTAGCTTCTATAGTTTGAGCAGCGTTGTTTTTTGTAACGTGGTCTTGCAAGAGGATTGGCCTGTCTCTATTGACCAATCTCAGCTGCTTAATCACAAGCATCCTCATCAGTTCATCCAACTGGTTGCAGTAGACATCACTATAATAGATTGACCAGGTTTCATGAAGCTATAGGGGATAATCCCAGCGCTGGAACACCAAACAGACACTTAGCTTTTTTTGATGAATGTTCGGTTTTGGACTGTGTTTTGGCACTTCATCTTTATCCAACCATTGTGCCAAACACTTGTGATTTTCAAAACGAATCCATTTTTCATCACACATAACAATACGGTGTACAAATGGTTCGCCTTTATGTTGTGACAGCAAAGAAAGACAAGCTGTGAGACGATTTCTCTTCCAACGCTCATTTAATTAATGCGGTACCCATGTATTCAGCTTCTTTACCTTGCCCATTTGTTTCAAATGGTCCAATATTGTTAGAATAGTTACGTCAAACCTTGCTGCTAATTCACACGTAGGTTGAGATGGATTCGCTTCCACTACAGCTTTTACCTTATTATTATCCACCTTGGTCATAGGTCACCCATATGGCTCATTTTCAAGATTAAAATCACCAGAATGGAACTTCTCAAACCATCGACGTACTGTGTGTTCATTAGCCACATCCTTCCCAAACACTTCACTGATATTTTGAGCTGACTGCATTGGTTCCACAATGGAACTCATATTAAAAAATAACACAAATTTTGACATCCATGGTTTCACAAAATTGCTCTACAAAAAAATTTGAAAGATAATCACAAGCCAAAATGTACGTTTGAAAGAATGAGGATGTATCTTCACAATAAAAAAGATAAAAGAAGTGTCAAAGTGAAATATCAGAGATATCAACTGTCAAACTTAGTACTTAAGGAAATCAGACATTCCGTACTTAATAACCTAATATTTCATATGTATTTATAATATTTGTATAGTTCCCCATATAATTATATAAAGATTAAAATGTACATAATACATGCATTTTTGAGGCATTAAATTTGTGATTGCCTGATTTGCTTGTCTAAATGCTATTTTTCCAAAAGTGCAATTTGAATAGAGCCTAAAAAAGCGTTCTGTATTTTTTCCTTTCCTTTTCTTCCCCTTTCCCTTTCTTAATTTTAAAATTTAGTCTTAGTTTTGAGGTATTCTTTGTTAAGTACAGTTCGTTCATACATAGTTTTCCATGTTTCAGAGACAAATATGCATTAGCTTTAAAAATGCAAACATAACAGGTATATTACAATTTTTGGATTTCATCTTTATCTAGCTACAGCTCCTTCTATCCACATCTGGGATGCAGTGAATAAGCAGACTTTATCTATACTGAGATGTTACCATTCCAAGGGAGTATGTTCAGTCAGCTTCAGTGCTACTGGCAAACTATTGCTGTCTGTGGGACTAGACCCAGAACATACTATTACCATTTGGAGATGGCAGGAAGGTAGGATTTTTTGTGTGTGTATGTTATTTTTAAAAAGAATACTAGGGTAATATGAATTCTACTGTAGCCCTACACAGTATACACCCCACAGTCAGTGGTATCATAAATATGTTTTACTATAAAAGCCCAGCGAAACCGTAAGCTCATAAAACAGATAAATTAATGAAACCATTATTAGTATTATAAATGACTCACTACTATTTCCTTTCAGTAAGGAACTATGTATGTCTTTGCTAATTATTAACAATTTGATTGGTTATCTTTATCTTACTACAGAATGAAAATCAAGTATATTTTAAATGATAAGGGAAGATCAATAGGGTAATATTACCTAATACATTTTAGACAAAACTTTTAAGTTATATAAAAAGAAGCTGCCAGGTGCAGTAGCTCACACCTGTAATCCCAACACTTCGGGAAGCTGAGGTGGGAGGATCGCTTAAGGCCAGGAATTCGACACCAGCCTGGGCAACATAGTGACACCCTGTCTCTATAAAAAATTTTAAAAATTAGCTGGGTGTGGTGGCACATGCCTGTATTTCCAGCCACTCATAAGGCTGAGGCAGGAGTATCACTCAAGCCCATAAGTTTAAGACTGCAGTGAGCCTTTATACTCCAGCCTGGGTGACAGAGCAAGACCCTGTCTCAAAAATGATAATAATAAAATAAATAAATAGAAGTTAATGGAGCTACACAGAAAAAAATTAAGACATGGTCCCTAAAATCTACAACGGTCCCTAAATGGTAATGATGCTTTCCATAAATACATACATCATTTGCAAAGATACATGAGAAGGACTCACTACACAAGTAATTGTACCTCATATGATTGCTAGGTAGCAGGGCAAAGGCCATGGCCCTCCCTTTGTATAAACATTTGGGTTTTGTTGTTGTTGAGACAGTCTCGCACCGTTGCCCAGGCTATGGTGCTGCGGCATCACCCTAGCTCACAGCAACCTCAAACTCCTGGGCTCAAGCGATCCTCCTGCCTCAGCCTCCCAGGTAGCTGGGACTACAAGTGTGCGCCCCACCAGGCCTGGCTTTTTTTTTTTTTTTTTAATATTTTTAGTTGCCTGTCTAATTTTTTTCTATTTTTAGTAAAGGCAGGGTCTTGCTCTTACTCAGGCTGGTCGAACTCCTGCCCTCAAGCAATCCTCCCACCTCAGCCTCCCTGAGTGCTAGGATTACAGGTGTGAGCCACTGTGACTGCCCAAGCATTTGTGTTTTGAACTATGTATTTTACTTAACTGTTTTATTCTAATTGTTGATTAGCTTGGTTCCTATAATAACCTAGATGATTTTGTTGTATTTTCATCAGGTGCCAAAATTGCCAGCAGAGCTGGTCACAACCAACGTATTTTTGTGGCAGAATTCCGACCAGATTCAGATACCCAGTTTGTCTCTGTGGGAGTAAAACATGTGAAGTTCTGGACCCTAGTGGGAAGGGCTCTTCTTAGCAAAAAGGGGCTCCTGAGCACATTGCAAGATGCCCGGATGCAGACCATGCTCGCTGTTGCATTTGGCGCAGTATGTCTCTTAAAATGCGTGTGGTGGTGTGACTTTGACTACTTTAAATTTTCTCGCCTTAGTGTTGCTTCATCTTTCAAAAATCTAATACTTTCTTTCAGAAATTAGGGAGTAGAAAGAAAGTTAATGAAAGGGAAGAAGGATTGTGACGAAACATTTGAGTCCTTGGGCCATTGCCATTCTCAAAAGCCTTCCTTAATCTTGTAATCATTACCCTAAATATTCTAAAATTTGTCTAATAGTTCCTCATGATCCTAAAAATTTGTCAGAGTAAAAGAAAGGTAAATAAAAAAATATGATTTTCAAGCGACTTAAAGTGGTATTTGGGTTTAGGATTTCCTTTGCTTTTTATCATTTTAACCCACCACTTACCATATAGCTGGAAGTGTTCTGAGCCGAGAGACAACAGGAGAGGGCGCAACTCTTGGTCTCCATAGAAAAGTGTTCAAGTCCTCCTCTCCCCTCACCTTACTGCACCCCACCTGGGCCTGTGGTTTACAATCCACGTCTTTTTCCTTTTATATTCTGCTTTGGCTATGCTTTATAAATCCATTGGTGCATCAAAAAACTAAGTGGATGTGCTCATTAAAGTGCTTATATGGGTATGCAGTACTCCCAGGAAGAAAATTATAGTTTTAAAACCTTTAAGTACATTTATGTTTTTGAGAAGAAGACCATTGAAAACATTGGTTGTGCCATGTCCACCTTCAGTTGAACGTTTTGGGTATTCTTAATGTAAGACCAGTAGTTCATTTCCAGAAGAAAACCCCACACATTCACAGGCTTCTGGCATTTAATTTGCCCATGTAGATTGACTTTCTTCATGTGTAAAATTGCTTATGTAGTCAATTGCCCAGTCAGAAACTTGAAGATTAAAATATTAGAAACAATTGGCTTTTAATGTATGAAATATAGTATACTCGGTGAGAAAGTTTTCTTACATAACAAGGTAGGTTTATGTTCAGTTCAGCATTTTTGAGCATCGTCTATGCTAGAGGCTGTTAAAAGAGCAAGGGAAATAAATACTGGTTTCTGCACCTGAATCCTTTACATTCTAAGTGCAGAGAGCCATGAATTAGTGATGCTCCTAGACCTGCATCCTAGTCATTGAAATCTGCAAAACTCCTACAACTCTGCCATAGATAATAGTTTTACTTCCTATGACAAAATACTTGACCAAACCTAATAAAAACTTCACTTCCTGTTGTTATTCTTTCACTCTCAGTTACTAACGACTTTTAAATTATTAATGGGGCAGCTAGAGGGGAGCAATCCAAAGGAACACTATAAACTAGAATTGTAGTATTTTAGAATTGGAAAGAAAGAATTGTCCAAGGTTATTCCAGCTAATAAGCAACAGACCTGAAAAAGGAAAAGGCCCTGACAAAGCTAAGCCTCGAGTTCAGGTTTCTTGACTCTTGAGTGCAGTGCGTCTCCCACCACCCCATGCATGCTCTTTATATCCAGGAAGGAGGCAGCGTTACAGTGACATAGAAAATTACATGTATCTGAAGCCTATTTGAACTTTTGATGAGTTTGTCTCCCCCTTTCCCCACTCCTTTTCAGAATAACTTGACGTTTACAGGTACCATCAGTGGTGATGTCTGTGTGTGGAAAGATCACATATTGTGTAGAATCGTGGCCAGAGCTCACAACGGGCCCGTGTTTGCCATGTATACTACCCTGCGAGATGGACTTATTGTGACCGGCGGCAAGGAAAGGCCGTGAGTCCTCTTCTTTTCACAGCCTCACTGAATGTTGATGCATTTGGGATCTACCTGGGGTTTGCAGTGAGGTATTCTGGTTCCTTCTAGGCTACACAGATCACCCTCTGGGACCTTCCTCCGCACATACTTCTCCTTCATTGCCTTTCATGTGCCTTGTCGATTCTCCTTTCTGGTCTTAAATCACCTCCAATTGTTTTTCGCGTTGGAGATAAACCTAAACTCCAACTGGGGTGATTCTTTTTCTGAGGTGTGGACGTATAGTTGCCCTACAAGTTAAGAATTGATTTTCTTGATGCCTATTTGCCTGTGTAAGTATTTGCTGTGTGACAGGGGTTGTAGGGGGCAAAACTGCTCGGTCTCTTCTTTTATTCAACTTGGATACAAAGGGGTAACGCGCATATTTTTTGAATTAGAAAAGGATGAGAGGATGCTAGAGACAAATTCTGTCTTACTTGTTTTTCCTTCAGGCACACTCGATAGACAAATTGTTTTATACAAGACCTCAAAATTTAACTCTGAGGAGAGGCCTTTTTCTGAGTGATTTTCAAATCTGGTATAAGTAACCAGATACTTACTATTGATTTGCCATCAACATAGTCATATGCATGTTGAAATGTGACACGTAAGTGACTAAGAAATACCTTTCGGTACAGGGCTGAAAGAACCCATGTATGTTGAACTCAAGTGCAGAAACTTTTGCCTTTCACAAAAAGGATGGACATGCTTTTTCTAAGACAAGCAATTCATCTAGCAGAGAATAAAGGAATAGATTTTTCAGTTCTTTCAAGAGAAAATCCATAAATGGGCTATATTTCTTTTTTACATATTATTCCAACACTTGTATCTCCCATGTTATCTAGAATTGCACACCCTACTCTCTAGTAGCCTACTAAACTGTTTCACTGGGATATTTTCATAATGGTAGGAAAAGAAATATGCTTTATTTTGGTTCTTAAAAATACACTCTCGCGTAGTATCTGTAATCCTGTTACGTCACCTACATTTCCATTATCTCTTTAATGCTAAAAATTGTTTTGTGTTATCTTTTTAATCAAAAAGTATTATGAAAAGATACTGTTAAGTGGAGGCTAAATAACATTATGCTCATGCCAAGAAAAATGAATTTTTCGCAAAATAAAATTTTCTGAAATCAGATGTTTTATTTTGACTGAGATGCAATATAGCCTAAAATTGCCATGGAAAGTTTAGAAGAATATTAAAATTAGAAATATCAGGGCCTTTTTTGGGGGGGCGGGAGGGAGACAGGGTCTTGGTCTGTCACCCAGGCTGGAGTACAGTACCATGGTCATAGCTCACTGTAACCTTGAACTCCTGGGCTCAAGTGATCCTCCTGCCTCAGCCTCCCTAGTAACTAGGACTACTGTGCCTAATTTTTTAATAATATTTTTGTAAGGATGGGGTCCTGCTATGTGTTGCCCAGGCTGGTCTTCAACTCCTGGCCTCAAGTGATCCTCCTGCCTCAGCTTCCCAAAGTGCTGGGATTACAGGCATGAGCCACCATGCCGGAACCCCTGGGCCCCCCCCCCTTTTTTTTTTAAAGGAATCTGCTTATAACTTAGTATTTGTATATAATCGCCAATAATAAACGCTTATTTTGGTTTGGTTGTTATTTACTTAGGTCAAAAGAAGGAGGAGCAGTTAAACTGTGGGATCAGGAACTGAGGCGGTGCCGTGCCTTCAGGCTTGAGACAGGACAAGTCACAGATTGTGTTCGTTCTGTGTGCAGAGGCAAAGTAAGATGTTCCGTGAGCCAATACGGTGCAGCAGAAAACACAGTGGTTACAACTGTGATTCTCTCGCCCTTTGCAATTCAATGAACAATACTTAATAATGCATAAAAACAGATTTGCTTGCCAGCATTACTCTGCCTTTTCTCTGTTGCTTTCTTTATGGTTGCACAGTTGGCACCAGAGCAGTCCATAGGATAGGAAGCTACTCTGTCTAAACCCTGTATTTAAACTTCCATATTTTCTTGAATCTGCTAATTCAACTATGGTAGACAGAATTGAAAATCCTCACGAGTTGATTCATTTTGATTAGGACAGCTGTCTCCCTTTTTTTAAAAACACACATTCCCTGGATAAAGAAAATGCGGTATAAGTTCCCAATGGAATACTATTTACCCATAAAAAAGAATGGAATTTTGTCATTCGTGGCAACATGGATGAACGTTAAGTGACATAAGCCAGGAACAGAAAGATAAATATCATATGTTCCCATTCATATGCAGAAGCTAATAAAAAAGTTGATCTCATAGAAGTAGAGAGTAGAATAGTGGTTACTAGAGGCTGGGAAAAGCAGGGGACAGGGAGAGATTGGTCAAAGGATACAAAATTATAGCTAGTTAGAAGCAGTAAGTTCTAGTATTCTATAGCACTGTAGAATAACTATAGTTAGCAATAATTTATTATATATTTTTAAATAGCTAGAATAGAGGATTTTGAATGTTCCTATCACAGATGTTTGAGGTAATAGATATGCTAATTACCCTGTACCCCATAAATACATACAATTATGTTGTTATCAATCAATTTTTTTTTAAAACTACACATTCCTATAAAAAATTCTGAGCATGCAAGCACTCATTAAGTGTATTTATAAATCTTATACAGGTATTATCTTTAGTCTGCATATTAAATATTAATTAAGCTTACTTTTTAACAAGAAAATAAATTCTAGTACTTTCTTCCTATATCCCAGTGCACTTACCCCTCTTTGGAGATCCCAAGATGATCATAGTCAAAGTCAAAACTTTGATTATTGAAGAATCCAGGTGTATTGCCATAAAGAAAAACTCTGTTCTTTAGCATGGACTCTAACATGCAACCCAATCCAGTGTTCTTATAGATGCGCCCCCAGTCATAGAAAATTTTGCATGACCTAATGATTGGCGTGCAACTAGATGAGCTCGAAGCAAAAAGTTCTCTAAAAGCAGTTCAATAGGGTCATTCTTAATATTATTAAGAAGAGCAACTGCTGTATTACATTAAATGTACTGATCCTACCTGTGTTTCAGGGCAAAATACTAGTTGGGACAAGGAATGCTGAAATAATTGAAGTTGGAGAGAAAAACGCAGCATGTAATATTTTAGTTAATGGTCATGTGGATGGACCGATCTGGGGACTGGCAACACATCCTTCCAGGGATTTTTTCCTTTCTGCTGCAGAAGATGGGACAGTGAGACTCTGGGATATTGCTGATAAAGTAGGTACAAACAGTTTTTTAAAAGATGTTATAATTTCTTAGAAGTGAAAGTCCTAAATTGCCAGTGCATTAAAGAAGGAACAATCTCAGACTCATGCAGAGAATTTTGGGGGGAAAATGGTTTGATTTGTAAGTATTTCACTTAATGTAGTTTTCTATGACTCTTTTGGTTCTTACACAGAAGATGTTAAACAAAGTGAATCTGGGACATGCTGCTCGTACTGTGTGTTATAGCCCTGAAGGGGATATGGTGGCTATTGGAATGACAAATGGAGAATTTATTATTTTACTAGTGAGCTCTCTAAAAATATGGGGAAAGAAGAGAGATAGACGATGTGCAATCCACGATATCAGGTTAGTCAACAAATGGAATAGAATTTCTAGTGTATAAATGACTCAGCTTGCATTTGAAAAACTTTCCTTAGCTACACGTTCAAAAAAGGTCCTGAAGGCCTGTAGCATTTTACCACATCCTAAGTTGCATGCTGAAATATGGCTGTTTATATACTTAATTCTCCTTGCTAAATTATAAATGCACTGGGCACCAACCACAGTGCCTCATAATAGCAAGTACTACGTAATGTTTGATGAGTAAGTGTAACACTAATGTCCAGTTAAGTTCATCATGCTAACAATTACCTCCCACTGTAATACAAGAGAGCCATCCGACCTTCAAAAGTTGCCACCTGGAAAACTAAAGTTGTAACTCCAAACATATCTTCTCTCAATAATGTCAATTTGGGAATATATAGTTTATTTATTTGATCAATTCCTATGAACATCTATGTCCCAGAACCCAGAATCTGAATCAATTTAAACCTTTCTTGAAACCTTCTTCAGTGCTTAAGCTTGTTTTAACAGTGGCTACCATTTACTGAGCACTTGTGGTCAGTAGATAAGATTACTGAGTCCAGTACTGTCAAAAGCTTGTATTCTTTTCAGCAGTAAAATCCTTTTACAAATGAAACCTTCCTCATGATGAATAAACCTTCAATATACAAAACAGTAACAGTGGCTCCTTTTAGCTCCCACGTGTCCCTAGACACCTCAAGACTCATGGAACATTTTCAAAAGACTGAATTTTCCCATACTGACTGTAGTGATTGCTAAGCAAATAGTATTTCACTTTGTCTTTTAAATAAGTTCTTCCACGCTGCAAGCAGTGTCACTTCATCCTAATAACCTGAGGTGAGTTTAGCTGGGCTGTGTTCTTCACTTAGTATTAATACATTTTTCCAGATGAAAGACTCTTAATGAATTATGTTAACTTAGTAAATTATGTAATGTTAATGGTTTTTTTAAAACTGAGATATATTTAAAGGAATTAGGAGATGACAATGAGGCAATATTTAAAATTGAAGTTAAATATAAAGCTTTCTTATTACAAGTAACACAGACAAGTCTAACTTCAGTATACATAACCAGCTGTGTCTGTCAGGTAAATCTATTTGAGGCCCTATATCACACATAATCTTAATTTTCAATCGCTAGAAAGGAAAAGTCACTGATCTTAAATACTTATTTCACGTGGTCTAATGCATCTGTACGTGTTTTCCTTCATATTCAGATTCAGTCCAGATTCGCGGTATCTGGCAGTGGGTTCCAGTGAGAACTCAGTGGATTTTTATGACCTCACATTGGGCCCCACCCTTAACAGAATCAGCTACTGCAAAGATATTCCAAGCTTTGTCATTCAAATGGACTTCTCTGCAGACAGCAGGCATCTCCAGGTACAGTATCAATACTGTATACCCAGTTCACAAGGGTAGTTCTGCTTTTACATTTTGTGTTAGTGAAAACATTTAAACCTCCCAAGTTTCAGAGCTTTTCAACTCTTGCCTTGTATCCTCTGACCTACATCTCCCCATTTCCTCCCCACTTGCCAGTCCTTTTCTCTACTTTTTCTAACGCTTTTGTAGCGGTCTTTTGCATTCTTCATAATGTTAGATATATAAATCGAGTAGCAATAAGCTAGTATTCTATAAACTCCTTGTGGATTTTGCCTCTCTCCTAATGGAATTCTTGTCCCATTTTAATACAATGAAAGGTCTCTAGTGGCTGCTATAAACGGCATGTCTATGAAGTGCCTTCAGGAAAACATCTTATGGATCATGCTGCTATTGACAGAATTACCTGGGCTACATGGACTAGGTAAATACTTCATATATTCAGAAGGGAAGAAGTGACTTTTTGAAGGTCAGAAAACTTGAAAAATCCTATTTCTGAACGGAACCATTTCACTAGAGAATAGTAATGAGTTTCAAGTTTTCGTTACCATATCCTGACTTCTCAGGAAGAGAATAATGGTGTGGTGTGTTCATGCTGGGACCCCTTTTGATTGAATGCATTTCCATGCTTTATCAGCTTTCATGATTTATCAAGTTCTTTTAAAGAAAGAAAATCAAAGTCATGGCTTTAAAGATGCCATGATATTTTCCTTAATGTTAAATTTAATAACAGGCAATAAAAACAAATAATTGGGTGCTGTTAAGCAACTGTATTCATTATGTAAAGGAATGCTATCTTGAAGCTGTTAGTAATTGAAAGCTTATAAACTTGTTCATATTTGCTGGATATAAACAGGTAACTATGAGTATCCATTTTTTGGTCCATGAAAAATTCCTATCGTAAGTATCACTTTTGAAAAAATTTTTTTTCTAGAGACAGGGTTTTTCCTATGTTGCCCAGGCTGGCCTTGAACTCTTGGGCTTAAGCGATCCTCGTACCTCAGCCTCCAGAGTAGCTGGGACTACAGGTGTGCCCCACCAAGCCCAGCTTATAAGTATCACTTTTAATTTGAAAAGCAGTTCTGTCAGCTTTCATAAAGCATTAATTGAATCTGAAGAGGATTATTTAATCTATAAGCCCTTCAAATGATAAAATTTCATTTTAAAAAGGTGGGAGTTAATATCCAGATGCAATTCAGGCCTCTAACAACTTGCCTTATCACAATTTACTGCCTGTATTTTAAATAACATGATTAGGTACTTAAGAGATTAATTGCCAAGAAATTTTTTCAGTTTGGTAAGCCTGTCTATACTTGATACATTGGATTTTCTTTTGTTCCATCCATCTAGTATTCTAGGAGAGGAAGTTATGGGAATCTGGTCCAGACATGCAGAGAAAGCCGACGTCAACTGTGCCTGTGTGTCTCATTCAGGAATCAGCCTTGTAACAGGAGATGACTTTGGCATGGTTAAGTTATTTGACTTCCCATGTCCAGAAAAATTTGTAAGTTTGTGTTTTGTGTGGTATACCATCTTACTCCTAATTTTAATGTCTGATCACTAGTACTTTTTCCTACACGATTTAATATTTAAAATGTTTTGTCCTAATTTGAAAATACTTTTATATTTCTAAATTTTCCCCCAAACTTTCTAAACCGATTACCCTGAAATAAAAGCTATTAAAAATAAATCTCCTCCTTCCAGTAATACCATCTTTGGAAACTATCCTAATAAAGCTGTGATTACCTTTTTACCAAACCAATCAGTTATCAAATTTCAAATGCTTTTCCTCAGAGAAAAATTTTCAGAGTACCTGGAGACAACTGACTGCCCAAATAACCTGGTTTGTGTTAAATGCAGATCCATTACTAACTCCGTAAAAGCATTTGAATCATTGGCTGTGGTCCCAACTCCCTGCTGTCTCCACAGTTCTTGTGATAGAGATTATAGTTCCTAATAGGTACCTTTGACTTGTGTGAGCTTCAAATGCCCTGACTTTTGTCATTGTTTTTTAGGCAAAGCACAAAAGGTTCTTGGGTCATTCACCCCATGTGACAAATATTCGATTTACTAGCGGTGATCGACATGTTATTAGCGCTGGAGGTGATGACTGCAGGTTAGTAATTTTCTCAGCCCAAGAAGAGCAGACTATCTTTTACTGTAATAATTAAGAGATTTAACATAATACCAATGCCTACAGCTTTGGTTTATGAACTCAACTAGGCAACATCATCAGGGGATAGCATAACCAGATGCCTCCTTGGAGTCATATACTTATGAAACACATAAAAGGAGTTATACATGTATAATTTGAAATCTCCTCAACTGTTTTAAGTGAAGAACATTAAACTATTCTGAAAATCTAGAAATGTAATGAACTCCCTGCAATTTTCTTCTCTGATTACAGTTTATTTGTCTGGAAATGCGTACATATGCCTCACTGAGATGGATGCTGAGAAGACTATACAAATTAACAGTCTTGAGAGACCAGAATTACAGAGGAAAAAAAAAAAAACCAAAACCAAACCCTGCATGGTCAAGTGGTGCTAACCCCGGATTGTAACAGGGAGAAATGCCCAGAATGATCACAATAGTAGAAGTGATGAGTTCAAATGTTTGCTGTATGCACTGGGTAACTGTCCATAATCCATACACTGCCAGATAATTGCATTTCAAGGAAGGACTGAATACTTGATGGTAAAAGCCAGCCTTCCCCCACCCCTTCATTGAGGGGTGTGCAAATTTTGGCAGATCTGCTGAGGAGATATAGGGTACAGCACACCTTAAAAAAAAAAAAACCCAAAACTTAACCCAAGCTGGACAATTTTCATCTTTTTTTTAGCAAAATTGTGCTGCTCTTTAGCATTTATATTTTTAAGGTTCATTGTTTAATGAAATATTTTATCCTTGCATTTCCATAAGGAAAGGAAAACCACGATCACCCTAAAGGATCACAGTTTTTAAAAGGCAAGGATTTTCCCTAAGGAAATAGACACAAGCTTTCCTGGAGAATGTTTCTTAAGCATTAAAAAGGCCTTTTTTTAATAAAGGACACCTTTTCCTGGCAGTTTTGAATTCAGGAACAGATCCAAAGTTGTCAGTATATGGCTGCTACATTTTCATTTTTGAGCTGTCAACCCTTTTCTGTTCAGAAGCCATGACTGTAGCCTCACTAATGGAAAAGCAGTATGATCAACAATCATTTCCAATGGTGGACAGTTCTGTTAAGGTTTCAGACAGCAATAGTATTTAATGGCAACAGAATACTGCATATTTAAAGATGTATTCTAATATATAAACATTTGTTAAACATGTAAACAAAAGTGTTAAATTCACATTTACAAAGTTATACAATTTAATCACTGTTGGAAGAAAATTTTTATAGCTTTTTTTCTATTGGAAAATTTGTTTAGTGAGATGTGTGCCACCCCATAGACTAATTTCCGAAATGAATAAACCCAGATCCATTTGTAAAACTTGTCAGTTACTTCCTTTTTAGTGGATTAGGGCTGAATTCTTAGATCCTTTTTCCTTTTCACTTTAAATGCTGCCAAAGATAGTTCTCGTCATTCAGGAATTTGCTGTTTAGCCTATCTGTAGTTTCCTGAAGATTGAAAATTAGGTAGACTGCTACTTAAAAATATATTTTTCTAAGTATGAAGTTTAAGATGCTCTATTGGTCTTATGGATTTTTATTTTAATGTGTTATCTTTATAGCATAACAGATCCCATCCCCTCAGGTTTCTGGAACCCTCAGTTTGGTTTAACAAGATACATGAAGATTCCTAGTATCTATTTTCTGTGTCCAATACTTTGTGAATACTAAAAACAGAAATAACTAAATTATGTCGCAGAAAATCTAACCAGTGATTGAACCTGGTCAGTTTTAAAGCTCTGAATAGCTGTGGCTGAAGGGCTGATTAAGGGGTTAAGAAGCTTGAAACATGAAATGGTATTTTTTTTTTATTCACATCAATGTATTCTCCTGAATTAAGCCAAAGTTTGGAATACATTACTATTAGATTTCTATTTATGTGTTTTATAAAGAGGCAGTCAATAAATTAAAGGAAAAAAGCTCCCCCGGAACCACGCTCCCGGTTAAAAAAAAACAAAAAAAAACAACTTGAAGTTTAAAGTTTTCCCTCTGGGTCAAGTTTGCCAGCTTTTGGCTACAGAGAAATTCCATTTCCATTACAGCGTAGAAACTCCGTAACCTTAAGCAAGTAAACTACTTAGGAGAAAACTGCTTCCATTGCATTTTTGTCCTTCAAAGTGGCCAACCTGCTAAGTCAGCCTTAATCACTGCTGTAGTTTCACAAGTAATGGTCACGTTGACTTTAAGTAGTCATCCCATGGCCGTCTTGCTGTATCAGCCATCAACTAAGGGAAGGTGAAGAAATGTGACAGGCCATACATACAGAATCTCCCATTTACTTTTTTTAACCCAGAGAATTATTTTTGTGTGCAGTATCTGAGCTCCTGATTATGTAACCTGGGGCTTCTGGCACCTTTAGTCCCATTCACTTTATAAAATGCATGCCAAAACACACTGTGCACTCTGGCACCACTCACTTCATATCACCATGCTTGTTCCCTTTCTTTTTTTGTCATCCTTTTATTGTGGTGGTTCATTTTATACCAAAAGTTATACATCCAACAAATATTTTAGGGTCAACCTTAGCTTGCCCATAAACCATAGTGACTGAAAGATTAAACTCCTAAATCTATTTCCAGGCAGTGTCTATTAAACAGCAAAAAATAATCAGATTTTAGCATTTCATTTCCTTATAAAATGGCTGAACTAAATTAAGACCTTGTTTCCCATTTATGTTCTTTATAATGAAAACTATGAGAATGTACCTATATATATAACACCATTTATAATAGCTAAAAGTCTATTGTTAAACAATTCAGAAAACTTTCTTCTGCAGAGATGCAAAGCATCTCAAGTAACATTGGAATGAACAAATGCCTTAAATTCGATTGAGTAAACTTTTAGAATGAAGTGGAATTGTCATTTCACCCAAGCCTAACACAACAGCCTTATGCTCTTGTGTGCTTTGTCTTTGCTTCTCGTGTTTCAAGTCTTTACTTTGGGATCAGCATGGCAAAGTGCAACTTACCAAATGGTTTAATGACTGGTTAATTCTTTCTTCTCCCAATGGAAGAGCAATAGCCACAAAACAGACTGCTGGCTCTATGATCTTAAACATAAACTTTTACATATATGGGTTTATTATCATTTGGGTATATAACTAAGCAAATCAATGAACTTTTGTTTTTTTACAGTTAGAGTAATTTGGTCCTGTGAATGTTTTAGTCTTTATTATTCCTTTTGCATTAATTCACTCTTTTCTAATCACCTTTTAAGTTTTCATTTTTAACACTACTATACATCAAGTCTTTGAAATCAGTGATCCATTTGTTATTTAACTCTAAAGGATTTGACACTTCTTGCCTTAACACTTTTAAAAAACCACACACACAAAACTCTGTAACTGATGTAGTAGGCCAAAAGTTTCATCCTATTTTGCGGTTTACCCATCTGATCTCTGTAATTATAGTCTGTCATTTAAAATATACTATTTGAATCTAATTTTTACATTTCAAAAATTATCTTCAGTAGTAACTAAGTATATTTTCTGTGAAGCTGAGAATGTTATTTTTCAGAATGTGAGAATATATATGTATATTTATAATCTTGCGAGTTAAAAGTCTGTTTTATGATACCTTATGTATATACTTGTAAAAAATTTGTATAATTTTGTGATAATGTAGTTCCCAAAAAAATTTATTGAAAAAGCATATGTCAATAGTAAATGAGAGCACTGTAAGGACTTGTTCCTGTTTTTCACACTTGCCATTCCAGCTGTCCCCACCCTCCATACCCACCTCACTCATCCTGTCACAGAAGGAAGGAAAGAAAGGAAACTGGGAAACTTTACCAAAGCAGCTCTCAGCCCAAGAGGCCTGTATTGTCACGCTTTTCAAACTAAATTCACTTAAAAATTAAAAAAGCAGAATTGAATGACTATTTTAAGGCGCCTCAGTAATTGTGGCCACTCCTGTTTTCATGGTGGATTACGAGAACATTATATAATCTTTGGGAAAACTGAAAGCAGCAAATTCAACTTTTAGAATAATGAGACTTGTCTCACTTATCTCTCTATATACACCTACCAACCATGTAGCCCTAAACTGTAGTACCGTTACTAACAATGTCACATTATAAATGCTGATACTTAAAACAACAGTGTACAAACATGCCTCAAATGTTTTAATAGAATTTAGCCTTTCCTTAAACTGTCTTTTCATAGTAAAAACAAAACAAAAAAAACACCCAATGTTAAAACAACTTAGGAAACTTACAAACTTGAAAAATCAGACACTTCAGATAGGCAATAAACTTCATATTATGAAAGCAATATATTCCAAGTTTCAAAGATTTGACAAGTTCTGTAGAATATCTTTCATCAGTAGATGGAAACTTTCAAACTGCATGATCTTCTGCCTGGCAGGACTGGGTGTCATTCGCTGAATGAACAGAACCAAAAGTTTTTTAAATCATTTGCTTTGCATCCATATATACCATATACCTCAGCTAAAAAGCTGAATATTTTTATACAATATTTGGTCATAGGTTTGCTGTATCATATTCAAAAAAAAAAAAATGTTTGTAGATAAAAGATAACATGTAATTAAATTTATATGCCACACAAATATTCTGAAACTTCCTTTCAATATTTTACAATTGCTAATATCTAAGAAAATTAATTAGAGATTCATAAGCAGTGTATACACAAACTCCTGCTGGCCTTAGTATACACTTGTACAGTATATGATCATAAGTTAAAAAAAATGTGATCTGGAGATGATCGAAGTAAAAAAAGGTAATCACTGGATAAAACAAAGTTTGGTCCATGTAGTAAATTATTTTGCCAAAGGACTCTTGTAAAATTAAACAGCAAAGAAAAAAAGTGACAGTTTAGTTTCCCCAAAATTTATATGCTTATAAATTAAGAAACTACATATTAATAAAGGATTAGAAGTGACACTAGAAAAATTAATTTTAATCTTTACCTGGTTTGAGGTCGAATCCATTTCAAGGCATGTCGTGGTGGTACAGTAATGGTGGGATGGTAAAATGTGCAATCCGGTCTTGTACACTGAGTGTTAAACCTACAGTGCTAAATAGGTAACAGAGCTTCAGCAACGTCCTCAAGGCTAATACAAGTAAACACAACAATCTGAGATGACAAAAACCACTCCACCCTAACCATTAGCAAGGTAAGAGATCTGGTCTGTAATGCCCATTTTAATACTACTGAAGCCTTGAAAAAGAAACCTCCCTTGAAAGACAAAATCCTAGCAAAGAGTAACAGCAAGTAAAATTTCAAAAGGAAGCTTAGCATACAATATAAACTTCTAATCACTGTAGTAATCATCCCTTATTACGCTCCACTGAGTATCCTCATCTATGCCCAGGTACAGCTGGGGCAAGTGAAAGGCCTTTCATAGGTCTTTAGGCTGTTAGTGCAAAAAGGAGCGCATTCACTTGGAGCAACTATACAGCTGGAGATACACTGATTATTCTTTAGCGTGCAGACAATTAAAAGCATCAGTACAGTTTGAAGGTATTAAGTAGTACCTACTGGATTTCATCTCAGTTCTGGCATGAACCAAACCAACCACCCACCCACCTACATGTGCAAGAACAGAGAAGAGTAGAAAATATGACTAGTAAAGATGCGTCTTCTCCCATGAGTGCTTAGATACTGACACATTAAACAGTTCCAAACTTGGCCTAAGGGGCCAGACAGAGGCTCAATGACAACTAAGGAACAAGGTCTTAAAGACCACAAAATTAACTCTGACAAAAAAAGAAGGGAGGGGGGAGGAGAAGCAAGCAAGATCTTCAATTTGCTGATGACTTTCCACATCTCAGAATGGAGAAGTTACCACTATAAATTGGTTTTTAAGAAAATAAAAGTTCTTACTTTTGGATGATAGAAGGGACATTCCATTTTCTTGCATGCTGGGAAGTAACGGCAGAGCTGACTACTAGAAGGTGGTATTGCTGTTGTAACTGCTAACAAAAGTAAGAACAAAGATTGATCAAATCTGTTTGGCAAAATAATTTTTAATGCTGTCTACTGATGTTTTTATAAAAGTGAGAACTATTTTAAGTTAGAATGATAAGGTTTATATATATTCATTAGTGAAGATAAAATACTTAAGAATAGGATAGGCACACTTGTTTTTTAAACACTGGTTAGATTAACTGATTCTGTCAAAATTATTTCTAAAACGATTCCTTTTTCTGTCCAATTCTGTTTACAGTCATAAAATGTCATTTCCTATTTTTTACCCAAATGTAGTAGTGCACTAAAAGTCACTAACCTGGTTTTGGAGGCAGTATTGGAATTCTTCTACTCATATGAGTAAAAGGACAATCTGGTTTAGTACACTTTGCATCATATTTACAATTTGGGTGAACAAACAAACATTTTTCAGCAAATTTACAGTTGGGGAAGGCTCTACAAAACAAAAAAAGCATATTATTCATATTTCATCTTCTCAATCAATGCATTCTTCATTTTTTGTAGAGGGCTTCCTTATCTCTACTACTACCTACCTTATCACTACTTGTTTTGAGAAATGCAGATAAAAATAAAGGATATAGTACTCTATTTTAAAGGCGGGCAGATATCAAAATAGGACACACACATCTATTCCAAAGCCTGAGGTAACACAGGTTTTTGACTCAAGCCAAGCCACCATGAAAGGCAGAAGCTTATTTTGTGATAAGACTCACACCACTTACTCTGTAAGTAAGGTCTATATTTTCTGCAGTAATTTCAATACACTAAGCATATCCTATATGCAAGGCATTGTGCTACGAAGACTCATTCCATGGTCTCCTTAAATGTATAACTATATAATTCCCGTATCAAAATTTCCTTAAAGAAGTTAAAATATTACTCCTACTTTTATCTGTGCAAAAAACAAAAAAAAGTTAAAACATGGAGAGAGATTCCATCTATAGGACACACACACATAAAAATTCTAAAAGCCACCTCAGAAAACATTACACTGAAGAAAAAGTTAAGTCCAAAATATTTTCTCATTACCTGTAACTTTTTCCCCAACTCCTCAAAATCTGTGTATGTGCATGAACAAAATGCATACAAATTGGGGCAGTTATCATATACCCATCTCCTATAAATGTACAGAATTCTCAACCCAGATATCAGGAAATCACAGGTCTGAAGCACAAAGAAGGCTCCTCTCCCAACAAACACACATCCACAGAAGTTTGCTGCTCTTGGGGGGAGTGGGGGACCATGGTAAGTGTCACTGCATTTAGTTATAAAACTCAAAGTTGTCCACGGAGAAGAAAAAACAAAATAAGCCATAAGATTACAGAAGTTCAACTGAAACCAGAGTCTGTGTGACGCTACTCACTTGCAAGGTGAGATGGGGTGATGGTAAGCACACTCGTCCCCATTTTTACAAGCAGGCCAGTACTTGCAGCGCTCCAAAAGCTTTTCTGGTTTCTGTGCCACACTCAGTTCACTCATCTCAGCTACGAAAGGAAAGGAATTAAAATATCTCATTAATTATGATCAATTCACTACATGGCACCTTCAAGATTTCCCTCAAACCTCAGTCTCAAAATCTTCTGTTAAGTTTACAGCCATATAAAGTAAGTAAGTAAGCCTGCATAATCTGACCAACACTCGTAATAGAATCCTATAAAAGATTACCAGGAAGGAGGCTACAGTTCTCACTGTGCAAAGGAAAGTGGACAGTGATTCTGCAACTATTTTCACCAGAAATTCTAATTCTCAAAATTATTTCAGAAATGAATTAAATATAAAAGAGAGGGAGCCAATAAAATGGAAACTGAAAACACAAACAGGCCAATAAGGAAATGTGAACTAATTCTCATATTCAGCAAGATTATGAGTAGCAGAACTAACACACAAGTGTTCCCACTTGTTGAGTATATTCAGTTTTCTAAGTGCAGGTGCTAAACTCACAGCAATGTCTAAAAAGAGAGGAAAACACTTTTGCCTACAATGGGTCACAAATGCCATTACCTATATGGGGGGAAGACAGTTCACCTGAGTGAGACTGGCTGGGTTGCAGAAACGGACAGGTGGGGAACGGCAAGCTGGAAAGCACAGTGCACGTCCACTCACACCACTGTGTCACATCCAATTACACCATCAACTACAACACGGGAAAGTGGTACCTGTGTTGCCAGATTATCTCGTTTCAGTAAGCCAAAAAACTGCTTTTTCATTAGACATCTAAATTTTCAATGTTGGCAACTAATTCAAATTGAGAACACTGAATAAAACACGGGTCATAATCAGCTGCCAATTTCTGGCCTGAGACACCCCAGCCAAAAAAACTCCAGCATCATGAGTGTTACACGTTATGGTCCACGGGCATGTTTATGACAGCAAATAGCACTTGAACTACATTCTTCTAGTCCTCCTGTCTGAGGTCAGGCAGTTCAAATCTGGCTCTGCAACTTAGTAGCTTAGCTAGACGCTTTTGGCAAGTATTACCTAATCTCTCTGTACACTTCAGTTTCCTCACCTATACACAGAGAAAATAATCTCTTTCTTAGAGCCTGATGATTAAATGGAAAGAAGAATGAAAAACAACCAATCCTGGCCAGACACAGTGGCTCATGCCTTTGGGAGGCCAAGGCAAGGGGATCACTTGAGGTCAAAAGTTGGTGACCAGCCTGGGCAACATATTTACAAAAAATATGATCCCATATTTACAAAAAAATTAGCACACGCCTGCAGCCCTAACTACTCAGGAGGCTGAGATGGGAGGATCGCCCAGGAGTTTCAGGTTGCAGTGAGCTATTATTGTGGCCACTGCGCTCCAGCCTGGGTGACAGACCGAGACCCTGTCTCTTAAGGAAAAAAGCAAAAGCAAAAACGGGCAACAACCAATCATAACCTAACAACAGCAGCGGCTAGTACTGTGAGTACTTACTGTTCCAGTGACCCAACTTTTATCCTCATTACAGGAGAACAAGGCAGACAAATCCGGTCACATAGCCCAGATAGGGGCGTCATCAAAGAGCTATTATGACTATGCCTGATACATACATTTTCTATGCTACTTAAAAATAATAAATAATTATTTTAGCTCTAAGATATATAACTATTCTCAGTTCCAAAGAAAATCTCATAGGACTGGAAGGAGTTTTCCTGACTTTAAAATCTTTTTTGTGTCATCCCTGCAGAGAAAATGCCTTGCCCTCCTCCTACATAACATACATTAGACTAGGGTATATGCACGAGAACCCAGTACAAATGAAAGACTGAGAGAACACTCAAGAGAAGCGTAGTTGGAAAATGGAATAAAGCAGCAAGACACTCAAGAACAATATTAAAGAATTTAACACTTTAAAAGGAAACTTTATCTTCTTGATAGAAATGTTCAATCATACACACAAAGGTCATGCCTTTGGTTTTCCCCAACTGACATTTATCTCATAAGCTACAAAAACTTTTCCTTAAGTTTTAAAGAGGCAAATTTACTTTTCACTGAAAGCTATAAAATCTCTGCTGCCATATAATGTGGTGATGGGGGGGAGCGGCAGCTTGAAACAGATGTTGCTATCATAGTGTCCTTGAAATAACCCTCCAAAAAACCAACCAAAAGCGATTACAAAGTTTCAAACTCCCTGCTCCGAGGGGAAGAGGTATAAAAGCCAGAGACTCCTGGCGAGCAGCAGTCTGTCCAGCCACACTCATGTCCTAATGTTACAAACGTTTCACCCTTGAGCAGCAGTGAAACGTTGAGTCCCCAGTCAAAGCAATGGGAAAGAGGCTCACCACTCATCATAGCTGTCTCCGCAATGGCCATGGCACTTGCGTAACCTAGGCAAGAATTTTTACTAACTTTTTATAGTGTTACTGCTACTGCATATATACCAATAGAGTCTAACACAGACATCTACATTTAAACGAAATTAGATCCTAACAGACCAAATTATTAAGCTATCAAATTAAAAACCAAGAATAGTAAAAACCACAAGAATTTTCTTATTTTAGACTAATTATACAAGGCCTAGAAATCTGCACTGCCCGACTCCTGCAGTTCTTCCCTTGTTACTATTTGTAAACGTTTCTTCCTGTTGATAGGGTGAGATTTTCAACTCTCTCCACTAATCAAAACTGACACTATTTCATGGCAGGAAAAGCACTCAGGTTAAAGCTAACAGTGTTATCTCTTCACCAACTCTTGATCGCCCCCTACAGTCTATTATATTTTTAGTGACTGAAAAAGATACTCAATACATGTTCATATTTCTGCCAAGAAGAGGATTACATGGAAAAAATTTCAAAATCCATTGTTGTTTTTCTTTGAATCTGTTCATTTATAAGATTCAGTAATTATCTACCCTGCCAGTGAAGATGTGTTTCTAAAAATTTTATCAGTTATGAGAAGCGTAATTACCATTCTCTATTATGAAGGAAGATGAAAGTGGTGTTGCAGCTGTCACTGATACCACTGCAAGAGAAGCAGCAGTGATAAGAAACATCACCTGCCTAAAAGCATGGCGCTATCCGAACTGAGTCCACGTGAGTTCTGCTAAGTACTACTCTTCAATGTTAAGTACAAGGTTTTTTTCCTACATTCCCAAGAAGTATCTTGACAGATTAGGTAAGAAAGTCCTTTCAAAGAAACTTCATTAAGATAGAATTAGCATCAAAACCCAAACTCATTTTCTCTCAAGTTAATTACAAAAGACTATTGCTGGTATAAGGTGAAAGTAACGGTACAGTTTTCAGATTAAAAAAAGGTAAACAAGGCATCGAGAATGATGGTTCATCCTTTAACAAGCATAATTAAGAGGCATTGTTAGGTTCCATGGCTGAACTCCATTTTAGCACTGGAATAACAGCCCACCTATGAAACGTATCCAGCAATAACACTCTGAAATTTAACTGATGCTTTTGTCTAGAAGAAAAAAGGCCACTGTTGAATATAAATAAAAGCAAGGCCTCTAACCAATATTCATTCAAGGTAGAGAAACAAGTCAAAGATTCCCTTCACAACAACAGCACACCCTGAGAAGGGGAAATCTGAGCTCTCAACACACCGTTGGAAAAACTACCATTTGGGTCCTCAAGCTGCCTGCTCAGCAACTGCAGCTGCTGTGGGTGGAGGAGCCCTCTGAGTCCCTTGTTTGAGGCTGCAGTTTGGTTTACGGGTTTCATTCCTTCAAAGCACATGTCCTCCTCTTGATCTGACATGTATCCTGGGGGGCTGGGGACACCATCCAGCGTCACTATAAACTTGGGACTTGCAGGTTTATCTGGTTGTACAAGATCTCTGCCAGACAGATAAAAAATACCATAGAATTAGGGAAACAAACACAAAATGCTGAGCCTCCTAAAGTGATCTTCAGTAGGACTATCACTCCCTTGCTTTGAGTTTGCTTCAATAAAAAAGATTTGGTAGGACTTCCAGGTACAGCATTAGTGCGTTCCTGCTAACACACTATAGCCACGACCAGTCACTGTGGCATCAACAGTGACCTTCCAGTCTGTACTTACTAAGGACAATCTCCCCTCAGCCCTGACCCCACTATCCATTTGGTTCTCACAGGGTCAACATGGAAATAAACCAAAAAATTAGCACTAATGCTCAGAACACAAGGGCCAGCAGTTTTACATTTACACTAACTTTATTATCTATACAGTTGTTCCTTTATAGAACACGTAGTCCATTTTCTAAAGGAAGAATCTCCCAAACCTGTCTAACTCTCTTCAGAGAGATTTCCTGATTACGGTCACCTGGCTTTTAAAATTTCATTTCCTGGATGTGCATAAAGACAAGAATCTTATCAATGCAGTTAAATCGTACACTGAGTTTTTATTTGAAGGTTAATAGATTTCTGAATAAGAAGGATGAACTGGAATTTTTGAAATCTGGCTATTTGAATCTGGCTAACTATTCGGGCTGACTACTGAATGGATAAAAGCATTCTATGTTGGTGCTGGGGCGGGAAAGGAGGGAAGCTGGGAACTAACCTGCATTATCTAATCACACAAAGTAGCTACACAAGAAAAAGAAACCATCTACCGTGTCTGCATAAGGTGTCCTGAAAGTACCCGAAGGGTATCTGCAGTCTTCATCCCCGACTCTTGGGTTGGTGCCACTACTACTTCCTCAGACAGCTTTGGCTTCTTCAGAATAAATGATCTTGTGTCTGCATGGACCATGGATTCCATGTCATAGTAATCTGAGCCAAAAAAATTGGCCACAAATGTTTACTTTTGAATATATCTTACATTCCCAACATCGCACATGTGAGAAGAATGTCTTTTATATATTCATCATTATTGTCAAAGGAAAATCACAACCGGTTCTACTCAGGAATAGGGACGTAATTCTATTCCAAACATTTTTCCAAAGAGCTCAAGGAGTCCTTTCTTCATAGGGCACATTACAAATGATTCTAATTAACACTCCCTGCCTACAGTAGAGAAACATTCTCATGTGAGGCATCTTATGGGATATTAACGATATATCCATAAAGTACAACAGTCTTTTCTAAAAACATGGCAAATTCAAGAGCCCTAAAAGCTCCCAAGAATTATGATGTACACGAACTGCTTAACTGCTTTTCTAAAATCTGTTTTGTTCATTTTACACAGTATCACTTACAGAGAAGAACATGTCCTGATAAAAGGAATTCTCAAGTGACATAATTCCTACCTGGTTATAGACAGAGGATACTTTAAAAGGGAATTTTAAGATGAATAGGCATTTTTTTAATATATAGCAAGAAAAACACTAAACTTCAATGCAAATAACTACAAGCTCACATCATCTACAATATTCTTAAAACTATTTTATAAAATATGCCAAGACCTGCAGCCGAGAATGGATATGGCTGACCTATCAATATGCCACAACTGACTGAAGTTAATGTACTTCCTTTAAAGCTAAGCGTTAAATAATAGAAACCAAAATTCACAGGATATTCATTCATTCGCGTTCATTCACTGAATATTTACTAAACAATGAAGAGAACTGAGCTAAGTATACAACGAAAAAAAGACGCATACACAATTCCAGAACAGCATGACCCAAAAGGTGATCCAAAAGGGATATAAACGAAGCAACACGCTAGCTGGGGAATCAAGGAAAAGCTTACCAAGGGTGAACATTTGAAGTAGGCACTAAAGGGATGAGCAGGAATAAACTAGAGGAGAGAGAGAGTGAGAGGGTAAGTAGAACCCTTCAGGCAGAGGGAAACACATGGATAAAGGCAGGAGCTTTCATAAGGCCTAGGGCATTTGAGAGAAGATGAGAAATGCGGTGTGGCTGGAAGGGGGTGTGGTGGGCTGAGCAGGTAAGTGGTGGGGAAGGCTGAAGCATATGATAAAGGATCGTGTATGTCTCAGTGACCTTGGATTCTGGTCCAGAAGTAATAAGAAATCAACAAAGGTTCCTAAGTAAGGAAGTGACCTGATCAAATCAGTTTTTGGAAAAACAGTGTTAAGGACTGGAGTCCTAGATCTTAGTTAAGAGGCTGTTACCCAAGAGAGATGGTGAGCCTCTAAATTAAAGGATTCCCCACCCTTGCCCTACTCGAACATACGTGAGAGGGAGAGAAGACACACTGCACACTCCCTGACGGAGTACCTCCACAGTAGCTGCGTTTTTCAATCACAAACCCAGCAAGGGGCAGGCCCACCTTCCCCAGCAGAGGTGCACAGATGGGAAAGGGAGACAGACAGACATGGAGAAAGCCAAAATGGGAAACACAGGAAAGGAGAAAGAGCAGAGTTAAAAAGAGGGCAAAGATAAATTCCAATGTTCAATTTATACAGTGTGAAGTCTTTGTGGGGCTGTCGTGTTTAGAATGAAGCTGAAAAGTCAGATTTGACCCTCAGGAGGGGGAGAGAAATGGGAAGCAGAGTCAAAACTGAAAGCGAAATAAGAGTGTTTAACTGTACATATTCAGGGCTGTCATCTCTCACTGAATCCTCACCCGAAGCCTAAGAAGTAGAGTTTTCCTCCCATGTTATAGATGACCAATTTATAGCTTCAAGTTCTTAAAAGATCACTGAGGTCTCACGGCTAACAAAAATGAAGCCCAGAATTTTGGCTCAAGGGCTGCTGCATTCCTTTCCACCAACCTACCTGCACTTTCTGAGGCGAAGTGGTTTTACTAGTTCACACCTTGGGAGAATATAGAAAAGATGAAAATAATGCTGAGGGCAGGACACAAGGTCAAGTTAACATTTTAAGGGGCAGCAGAGGAGACAAGCTGATAAAGGAGAATGAATGGGAATGAGAAGACTAAAGAGAGAGTGAAGTCCTGGAAGCCAAAAAACCAAAGACTGAAGAAAACACAGGAACACAAGTGTCACATGCTACAAAGTTTGGAAGTGTGCACTGAAAACAGAGCTTTCCGTTCTACACAAGTTGCTGGTCACCTCTGCAAGCTTTAGCAACCTGAGTCACATGGAAGCCAGACAGGAGAGTGAGTGACATCTTCTGGGTGGAGACCACAGGCTGAAGCCATGCTTTAATTATTTCCATCCCGAAAGCCCATTAAAAATACCAAAAAGCGGTTTATTTTTTTAAATAAAAGCATAAACCCACGAAGGAAGTAACTGTAGAAGGAGAGACAGTCACGTTTTGAAAATGGAAAACAGATGAGTAGGAACTAACTCAGTAGATATTTGCAAAAGCTAAATTCTAAGCCAATAATGAAGCAATACAATTTAGATCTAAATTCCCCAAAGGCTGAGAAATTGGCAGCAAAGGGGACCTTGGGAAGAAATGGCAGAGAAGACAAAGCAAAAAAGACGTGTGTTAGAGTGTCCATTTAAGGAGCAATTAGTTCTTCCTAAACTCTAATTCTATTTATCTGTTTTGTTTTGGTCCTCACCATGCCTACCCTCAATCCCTCTGTATTCAAGACACATGGGATGCCTGGAGATGTGCTTTCCTGTGGATTATTGCCGGAGAGGCTATGGATAAAGCATCATGATCTCTGTTGGAAAGACACTAAAACAAAATAACCTAAATATATATACTATTAAACTTTTTTTTAAAGACAGATTTCCTGATAACTTTTACCCATTTCATACATTCTCCCTTGGAAGAAATGGAGCTTGAGACTCTTGAGAAGAACAGAGGATCTGTGGACCAAGGGATGCCAGCCATACTGAAAGAAGTACCATACTGAAAAGGGGGAGGGGGCTGTTAAGTAAACATCACATAATAATTAACGTTGAGATGCTTCCCCCAGTCTTCTTTCCCCACTTAGCACCCAGAACTGTGGCAACCAGGCTACTTGAGAGATCTTTCTTTGGAGAAGGTGAACAACCTGAGAGAAAGGCGTAAAGGTACTGACACATCAAGTGCCCCCAAACTACACAGGCAGGACAAATCACTCTCCACCACGGGATCTACACTCAAATATGAAATCAAAAGCCCACCAATGCCCCAATTCATGAATCCACAAACCAATGAGCTTTTTAGTGCCCATTTTTAAATATAAGACAACCAAGGATCCCCAAACATCTGAGGAAAATCTCCAGCATAAAAACAGTCAAAACAAACAACCTGGAGAAAACAAGACCAAGAAGGGGGAGGGGAATGTTGAAACAACATTTAATATCCTCAGAGAAATAAGTAAAAGTACTGTATACATGAAACATGATCAGTATGTTAAAAAAAAAAAGTAAATGGAATATGCAGAAAGAAAAGCGCTCTTAGAAATGAAGATGTGACAGGAGATAAGTTAAATAAAGACTGTTGTCGTAGCCTCAAAGAACTACTTGAGGCTTCACACTGTGATTGCACCATGGATAAAAAGGAAAACTAAAGGAAACAAAATAGAAAGAATGCACAAGAGCTGAAGAAGTAGATATGATATACAGACCTGAGCTACAGGAACTTTTTGAAAGAAAATACTCTTATGTAGAAAGCAGGATGGAATGCTGGGAGATGAGAGGCAGCATCAAGGATGGAGAATATCTGAACACTTCCACACGCAGAGGGAGAAGGCAGAGACTAAAGCTGAAGGAGTATGACGACACAATGATGTTCATCAACTGGGTGGAATCTGGCATCTGGGTGGAGGCTAACCCTTAGAGAGGAAAAGCACATCTTTCTGAGACAGAAAACTGGGGGAAGCTCAGGGAATATATTCACTCACTTAAGAGTCCTCATGGAGGACAAAGAAAATTCAGGAAGAGGCTAATAGAAAGGGGTCAAGGAACCAGAGCTTCCAACCAGGGGCAGACAAAGGGGAAACACAAGGAAAGAGAAAAGAAGATTTGGGGAACTAGTGGTTCCCCGCATTTACCCAGCAGTCATTCTGTAGGCACTAAACATGCACCTGGCAGGGGCTGGGCACTGAGGACACAGAGATAAGTAAGGCACCAGCCCCAGTCCTGAAGTAGCTCCTGCGCTATGTGTGTGTGTGGCAGAGGGGGGTAGGGGGGAACAGGAGGAGGGTAGACAGGTAAGATAGTAAGCAATTAAATAACTGTGGCTCTAGAACAACAAATCTAGGTGTAGCCCTGGTGATAAGATTCTAAAGTGAAGTAAATGTGAGGATGAGGTTGAACAGGCAAAACAGGATACGAAAGCAGCCCAGGGCAAAGGCAAAAGCTGGGTAGAGAGGCAGAGTAAGTGAGGGGCTCAAGGCATCCCTGACAGCAGGAGAGTGAGCAGCCAGCAGGTACCAGGGACCCAGGTGGAATGGCATGACAGGAAGAAAATTTATGAATGAGGCAAAAAATAAAAATACCATATAACACGAAGAAAATGTAGATCTTATCTCCTGGCCCTAAAATATTTTCACAGATCTAAATATTGTATGTTAGGGCAGGATCTAAGAGTTACAAGGTACATTAAATGATGGGTAAGGAATGGAAATGAAACTGAAAATTGCTAGATGACTGTGAAAATTTAAATATTACCAACCTTGACTGATCTGCAGAGTTTCTGCCATTACTGGGTCAATTTGTAGTCGGGATAATAACTGCCTCTGTTGAGTTCCTAGAACATAAATTTAAAAACTTCACTAAGCTTAAAATACTAATACCAGCATGTGTTGCCAGAAATTCACCCTTCTGAGTTCTTAACTGAAAGTCTTACTTAAATCTTCAACAATGCAATTTAGTAATATTTATAGACCAAAGATATATCCTGTGAGACAAAAAGCTATACTCAGGGTTAAACCAAAAACTGCAATGTAGAACATTCCTGGTTCTCCCTCTGTGAGAAAGCCAGTTTTCTTGGATTGGAAGTAAAGGTAAAAGCATGGAAAAGCCAGGGGGGCTGCCTTGTGACCAGCAGCTCATGCCACAGCACAAAAACACGGTAAGCACCCCCTCAATCACTTGGCTCTTATCATTACACCTCACCCCTCTGCCCATAATCTTTGATAACAAAACCCACTGGAATTACAAAACAAAGCACTAGAGAATTGTCTGATCATGAAGTTCCTAAAAGACAAACAATAGGCTTGGATGGATGCAAAGAAAACAACAAACAAGTACGATACTCAGCTCAGCAATCCAGGCCCTATGTCAACAACGCATGACAATAATTGTTTGGATCTCCCATAAGGATCACACCTGTAATCCCAGCACTTTGGGGGGCCGAGGCGGGAGGATCACTTGAGGCCAGGAGTTCGAGACCAGCCTGAGCAACATAGTGAGGCGCTGTCTCTACAAAAAATTAAAAAATCAGTCAGGTGTGGTGGTGCACAGCTACAGTCCCAGCTACTTGGGAGGCTGAGGCAGGAGGATCACTTGAGCCCAGGAATTTGAGGTTGCTGTGAGCTATGATGCACTGCACTCCCAGCCTGGGCAACTGAGCAAGATACTGTCTTTAAAAAAAAAAAAAAAAAAAAAAAAAGTTGCTCAACTAGAGTATTTAATAATTCTTAAATAGGTTCTTAATATTAATCTCTAATAATATTCCTAGAAGTCATGCTGTATAAACAGTGACAAACAGCTGATTTCCCCTATCTTCAACTTGATGGTAAGCTCCTTGAGAATGGAAGAATGCTATACTTCTCTGTACCTTCCCCTCCGATGCTTAGCAGCTATCAGGCACTTGCTCACTACAGCAAAGTATTTGTTGCACTATGGCGTACAAAGGGATGTAATTAGTAGGGTTCCAAATACTGAAATATTAGTAAGATGCCTACATGCTAACTTTTAGTACATCTCTTACAGGTGAGGTGGTTTCGCAAGGACAGACTCTGCTTCCTCGGTGCAAACATGTAAGTGGGCAATCTCTTGCCAAGTACCAAGTTTCGTTAAAAGGCATTTTTAAATTTTAAAAGCTATTTTCAATTTGAAATTTTAACAGTTATTTTCCTTTGAAACATAAGTTATATTTCATTACTCTTTAGTGTGTCCAAAAAAAAGTGGATTCCTTCCAAAATTATCAAGGCAAAAACACAAATCCTGAGGAACAGACCTGCAACCCAGATGTCATTTAGGTCAAGTTATATTCCTGTGGGACAGTTTGGGAAACTGACATGTTACAGGTTACAGAAACAATGTTCTTCCAATCCAAACATCAAGCTCAAATACTACAACAGGTCTCTTTAACATAAACAGCAAATGAAAGAATTACACATTTTAAAATAATCTCATGCAGACAGATACATACAAGAGGATCACTCTCTCACATTTCAAGTTTTGCTTCATCTCTCTATACTTTTCAATACATTATTTTAGCTCTACTAAAGAGGATGAAATTCTGATAAATTATGGGCTTCTAAATCTAAATTATGTACAGTCCAAATTTGTCATTAAAGGTCTGTGAAAAATTCACGTTCTCTATGACTTGCTCCCTCCATATAAGAGCTACAGAGTTAAGATATGTGGGAGGACCCAGATCAAAGGATGAGTACCTACAAGACATTGTAGGTTTACCTTTCTCAATGTTTCTAAGGAAGCCAATTATTTTTACATCAGTAGCCCTTGATGGTGATTCAAAATCTACTTCTTCTTGAAGATCTTCAAACTGTCTGTTGCTTTCAGATGTTGATGTTGAATATTCATTCATTTTAACCTCCAAAGATGAAATTTTTGCTTCATTCTGTGACACTCGAACATTTAGATCAAAAAGATTTGCTTCCACTGTCAAAATTGCTGCTTTCATTCCTTTAATTTCATTGATATCCGTTGATATCTTCTTTAAAAGGTGGGAAATACTGTCCAGCTCATTCAGTGAAGAGGAACTTGCTATAGAACCTACATCAACTGGCTCCGGTGAAAGGAAAATTGGTAGAGCCGGTGATGGAAACCTCGAAGACATGTTCATAAAATTCTCTCTCCCTCAATATCTGGTAATTTTTCCTTCACAGCCCATTAAATTGTTTCATCAAAAGTAAAAGCAGTGATCAATGCTGCTACCTTAAGAAGTATTAAGAGTGAATAACATTTGATAACCTATAATTGAAAAGATAGGGTTGTACATTTCTAGAGTCAAAACTAAATTCAAAAATGCTAAACACACCAGATCAATTGTCTTCACTACAACAAAGAAGCCGTAATATGTAGCCCCTCTGAAAGTCCTACTTATAACTGCTCTCCAAATAAACCCTATTATTACACACAAAACAATCCTGACTTCTGATTGGCTGACAGACACGTGACATACAAAGAATTTTCTATTATTTACTTCATATGACAAGAGCATTGAGGAGCTGCACCATAAACCAAGCAACAGTGTCATTAAGTATGTGTCAGTGATATGAATTAAATGCACGTTTCCCCTTTCATCAATTAAACTATAACTTTCAAGCTTCAGATTACTTCCGAATTGTTTTATTGTATTTTGAGGTTCAATTCCCCTTGAAAATAGTATATGACAGAACTGGTATTTCCTTAGCAGGGAGAGGGCTGGGAAGGTGATTAGACCTATGATCACAGACAAATCTCGTTAAAAATATGTGTGGTAATAATGAAATTCAACTGCACTAATATGAGAATTTAAGGATGGGGAAATGAGAACTCAGCCTTGGTTTGATACTAGGCCATTATTAATGTGATCTGAAATACGTTCTCCCATTCTGTGGGCTGTCTTTTTTCTTTTACGATAATATCCTTTGAAACACAAAAGTTTTTAATTTTCACGAAGTCCAATTTATCTATTTTTTCTTTGATTGCTTGTGCTTTCAGTGTCATATCTAAGAAACCATTCCCTAATCCAAGGTCATGTAGATTTATACGTATTTTTTTCCTAAGAATTTCTGGTTTTAGCTCTTATATTTAGATCTTTGATCCATTTTGAGTTAATTTTTATATACGGCATAAAGGTCCAATTTCATTCTTTTGCACGTAGATATCCAGTTGTTCCAGCCCTATTTGTTGAAAAGATTATTCCTTCTCCATTAAACTGTCTTAGCACCCTCATCAAAAATCAACTAGTCATAAACATATGGGTTCATTTCTAGACTCTCAATTCCGTTCCATTGGTGTACATACTCATCCATATAACAGGACCACACATACCACCTTGATCATTGTAGCTTTGTGGTAAGTTTTGAAATTAAGAAACATAACCCTTTCAACATTACTCTTTTTCAATAGTTTTGGCTATTCTGGATCCCTTTTTATTTCTACATAAATTTTACGATCAGCTTGCCAATTTCTACAAAATAGCAATCTGAGATTTCAATAGAAATTGAGTTGAATCTGTAGATCAATTTGGGGACTACTGCCATCTTACCAATACTACAGTCTTCCCAACCATTAATATGGAAGATCCTCCCACGGCTTTAGTTTGAGAAGGGCTGTTTTTATTTTGGTTTGCTCCCCAAGCAACAAATAAGCTGTGCAACATATAAGGATGCAAGTTGGTGGACACCACTCACCATGTCCTCTTCAAAAGAATTCTTAGAATTGTAGCCTTTGATTTCTTAGTCAAATAGATGTCACTGACAATAACAGAAGAAAAAGCTAAGTGCTAGAATTTATATAAGAATCTTTATTCATTTCTCCACTGCATCTATAAATTAATCTAATTCTTTGTAATTTTTACACAGAAAACAATCTGTAAAATTGCAAAACAAGGGTTTAGATTCACACAGAATTTGTCCAAGAGCACCAGCTGACAGATGACATCCATGGTCATAACATTAAGAACAGCACGTCCTCCGCCTAGCACCACCTGCAAACCACTTAGTTCACCAGAGGGCAGCAAACAACCTCAATGAGAAAAGTAGGAAAGGGGTCTGAGAGAGGCATCAAGATACCTAAAAAGAGCACATTTGATACTTCCTGCATTGCCCACTGTGCCCAGCCCAAAGCAAGCGAAGACTCTTCCAGAGATTCCAATGTAAATATCCATCCTCAGAGAAAGTTTACATGCTTTAGCATTTACTCCTTATGATAACTTTGCTGTAAGTGCTACTGTTATTGCTTAAACTATAATCTATTGTTATAGATTAGGAAACTGGAGCAAAGAAAGGTTAAGGTCAGCTAGGAAGGGGCAGGGCCTGGAATTATGCTTTAGATAGTCTGGCTCCCGGGTCCATATTTATGATCACTATGCTGTCATACCTCCTCCCGTGATACACTAAGCGGAATAAAACATACAGTAGAGAACTCCATGTGGTGTAACTATTTTACATGCCTGTGTATGTGTGTATATAAATAATCATATAATTCCACTTTATACAACAGTGCTTCCCTCCAAGGCAGGCAGTGGGCAGAACAAAGGAGGGGGATCGTCCTCATTGTCTCTGAATATAAATGCTCCTCTTTACTAAGAATCTTTCACAGTATTTCTGTTTCAACGTAACAGAGAGACATGCATTTATAGTCTCTCCTGGAGAGTCTGTACTAACGAAGTAAAGAACTTTAAAAGGGCATAAATCTTAACATACAACAATGGTTTCCAAATTCAATTTCTAAATTATTCACTGAGGAGCAGGAAGAAAATACTAGAAATTCCATTGTATTAGAAATACTTGTATCTCTATCCTATCATTGTTGGATTCTATTTTTATGTTATCTAATTTACATACCAGTAACAGTGCAAGTACGTAAATAAAAAATATATTAATTGTACACATTCAAAAATGATTATTATACAAAATATTATATGGTCAAAAATATGGAGATCATTGACTTAGAGATGGGGGGTTGGGAAGGGGATTATACCTGGTGAGATTTCAATGATCTCTGGAAAATAAAAAATACACAGACAGGCCAGGCGTGGCGGCTCACGCCTGTAATGCTAACACTCTGGGAGGCTGAGAAAGGAGGACTGCTTGAGCTCAGGAGTGTCAGACCAGCCTGAGCAAGAGTGAGACCCTATCCCTACTAAAAATAGAAAACATTAGCCGGGCACAGTAGCATGTGCCTGCAGTCCCAGCTTCTTAAGAGGATGAGGCAGAAAGATCACCTGAGCCCAGGAGTTTGTGGTTGCAGTGAGCTATGATGACACCACACTGCCCTCTAGCCAGGGCACAGAGCAAGACTCTATCTCAAAACAAACAAAAAACCATGGATAAATACTGGCTGTAAGGCAGAGCAGAGAAAACCACAAAGGAGTCCCTGGGAAAACTGCGGGTTAGAAATGACACATTTATTCAGGCAACAAGTATATTCACTGAGCTCTTACTATATGCCAGGCACTCAGTAACAGCAGGAACCACATATACACACTCCTGTTCAATTTATAGTCTGCTTGGAGGGAAAGGAGCTAGACCTCAGAAACCCAAAAGTAAAGTAAAAACATATGCTAAAATATAACATATCATGCTGATATGTAAAGATCTGAGTCTGGATAAAAATACCTAAACTACAAAAACATAAAATATATTTTCAATGGAGATAAGGGATATGGAGCAAAGTAAAGCTTTAGAACGGGGGCGGCTAGGGAATACAGCAATGGGGCTGGGGAAGGCTTCACAGAGATAACATTTGAGTGAGCGATGTGGACATGTGGAAGAAAACATTCCAGGGAGAGGGCAAAAGCATCTCAGACATGCTCTTGTTCAAATGTCCTGAAAGAGAAGCACGCCAAGCATGTCTGAGGAATAGCAAGGAGAACAGCGGGCCAGTGCAAAGGCAGGGAGAGGGTGGTAAGTGCGGAGACCAGGGAGCGCAATGAGGAGCTACCAGAGGTTCTGAGCAGGAGAGTGGTGTGATCTAATTTACAGTTTGAAAGGATCACTGTGCTGCTGTGTGGGATAGACTGAAGGAAGGAAAGCGTGAAAGCAGACAGACCTTGTCAGGATACTATTCCAATAATCAAGGCAAGTCATGGACGGTGGCTTACACTGGGAGGCAGAGGCAGCAGTGACCAACGGTGGTGAACTGTACAAATACTGTGAAGGCAGAGGCTGACAGGTGGGAGGAGTGAAGGAAGGAGACTGAGGTAGGAAAGGAGAGAGGGGGAAACAAAGAATGGTCCTAAGTTTGAAAGACAGAAGGCAGTAGGTTTCTACCTTAGCAACTGGAAAGGCAGAGTTGCCATTAACTAAAATGAGGAAGACTTTAGGAACAAAAGATTGGAGAGAGAAATTCACTGGGTTTGAGACACGTTTGAAATGATTACATACCCAAGAAGAAATGTAAAGTAAGCAATTGAATATGAATTAAGAATTCAGGGATGAGGTCCAGGCTGGAGATATAATGTGGGAGTCCACAGTGTAGAAATGATATTTAAAGTCTTGAATTTGGGTGAAACAAAGGGCCACCCAACTGTAAGAGATTAGAGCAATGAGCAAAGACCAACAATGATATAAAGCAGAAAACAAGATTTGTGAATGGTATTGCTGCAGACAGATATTTAAGAGACAAAATTAAAAATCTGTTAAGCCCGAACACAGTGGCTCATGCCAGTAATCCCAGTACTTTGAGAGGCCGAGGTGGGAGGATTGCTTGAGGCCAGGAGTTCAAGACCATCTCTACAAAAAAATAAAACAATTAGCCAGGTATGGTGGCACACGCCTATACTCCTAGCTACTGGGAACACTGAGGCAGGAGGATAGCTTGAGCCCAGGAGTTCCCAGACTGGGTGACAGAGCAAGAATCCATCTCCAAAAAAAAAAAAAAAAAACCTGAGCAAATTATCTGGGAGAATCTAGACAACTAGTAGAAACGTAAGCATACCAATCCACTCCCCCGGAAAATTGCTCCACAACTGCAAGGCCAATCATAGCTCCTTGTCTGCTTCATTTAAAGCTAAATCTGCCTGCAGAAAAGCTTAGCCCACGCCACAACCCTAGGTAAGCCTTTGTACTGCCTTTTCTTTAACTAGGAACCACTTTCTGCAGACATTGTTGAAAAAAATCCCACAAATGAAAGGGCAAGACAAAAAG